CTGGAGTGCAATGGCGCGATCCTGGCTCACCGCAACCTCCGCCTCCTGGGTTCAGGCAATTCTCCTGCCTCAGCCTCCTGAGTAGCTGGGATTACAGGCACGCACCACCATGCCCAGCTAATTTTTTGTATTTTCAGTAGAGACGGGGTTTCACCATGTTGGCCAGGATGGTCTCGATCTCTTGACCTCGTGATCCACCCGCCTCGGCCTCCCAAAGTGCTGGGATTACAGGCTTGAGCCACCGCGCCAGGCCTCTTTTTCTTTTTTCTTAAGAGAAGGTCTCACTCTGTCATCTAGGCTAGAGTGCAGTGGCATGATCTTGATTCACTGCAACCTTCATCTCCCGGGATCAAGCAATCCTCCCACCTCAGTCTCCCAAGTAGCTGGGACCACAGGCTACATCCAGCTGATTTTTGTACTTTTTTTTTTTTTTTTTTTTTTTTGTAAAGATAGAGTTTTACCATGTTGCCCAGGCTGGTCTCGAACTCCTGGGCTCTAGTCATCTACCTGCCTCAGCCTCTCAAAGTGTTAAGATTATAGGAGGGCCCACTGAGAAGCATCCCAGCAACCCCACCACGGCCGGTCTTCCCCGGACACCATGAACCACACTGTCCAAACCTTCTTCACTCCCGCCAGCACCCACTTTCCCCCAAACTGTGAGATGCTGAAGGAGGAACATGAGGTGCCTGCGCTGGGGGCGCCCCACAACCCTGCGCCCCCAACATCCATCGTGATCCACATCTGAAGCGAGGCCTCCGTGCCGGACCACGTCGTCTGGTGCCTGTTCAACACCCTCTTCATGAACTCCTGCTGCCTGGGCTTCATAGCGTTCGCCTACTCCGTGAAGTCTAGGGACAGGAAGATGGTTGGCGACCTGACCGGGGCCCAGGCCTATGCCTCCACCGCCAAGTGCCTGAACATCTGGGCCCTGATTTTGGGCATCATCATGACCATTCTGCTGATCATCATCCCAATACTGATTCTGCAAGTCTATCAGTAGATCCAGAGGAATCGCCCGGGCCAGGGGCTCGGCCCCTGACCTGTCTCCCATGTACTCCAGCTTCCATTCCTCGCCCTGCCCCCAGCCCATCCTGTATCAGCCCTTTACCCTCACACACTTTTCTACAGTCGAGTTCAATAAAGTGCACGTGCTCCTGGAAAAAAAAAAAAAAAAAAAAGATTATAGGTGTGAGCCACCGTGCCTGGCCTCAATCTTATTTCTAACTTGGCATAAAAGGCTCTTGTCTTCTGGAAAAGCATTTCAGATGTCAACAACAGATGAAAAAGATATTTCATGGACTCAGTAGCTTCTGCAATTATATCACAAAGGAAATAAATACTTTTAAAAAGATCTACAAGCATCCTTCAGTGCTTTTGAACACATATATTATTGAATTATCACACAAGCCCTAAAGAACTTATCATTTTTTCATGTAAGAAAATTAGGCCTTAAAATAATTAACTCTTTTTCCCCATATAGCTAGTATCGACAGAACTCAAATTGCACCTCAGTTCTGGCAATTTGCAGGGCCTGGGATCTTTTGTTATACCAGTAAGTTCCTCTTTTGTCTTTGCTTAAAGCAGTCCTGGGTATGAGGACAGAGGGAAGGAATGGCTACACAGAGACAGAAGAGATCCCTGCCCAAGAACATATTCACATTCCAAGACTCAGGAAACTTCAAATCCATATATGAGTGAGAGAAGGTGAACCTAATTGGAACTGTATCCACAGCTATTGTTTATATAATAAAGAAATACGTAATTAGAGTTGGGAGTGATTAATCAAGGATGACTTCCTGGAGGGAAGAACTTCAGATTAGAGTTTTGCAAGATGCCAGGAGGGAGAGGATTCTGAGAATAGAAAAATGAGAATCTCATTCATAATTTCATTAGTTCTAGCTTTTGAGATGGGCCATGTATGCAAATGTGTTTGAATGTGAGAAGCTTCACCTTTTATTTCTTTGGAAATTTCTATTATGTTCTGTTTAAATGACTGAAACTCCAGGGGGGCCTGCTAAGGCTATTAAAAAGAAATTGGTCATTAAATTTAAACTATCTAGTAGATGAATTTAAAAGGCCAGCTGTCAGAAAACCCCCTCACTGAAAAATAAGGGGCCTCACGGAGTTGCCACAGAGGAATTATGAACAATATGGCTGTGGTCCCCCTACTTTCTGTCTTTTTGGTTTTTACCCCAGTGGAGAGAAAGGAAATTAGGGAACTGAGAGTATGAAAGAATAAACATGGGTGATGTAATTACATAATCTGCACCAAGACGCTTTCTTTTTCTGTCTCACAGGTGTGTCTCTAGTTACTAGCTGGGGAGGTAAGAAGACAAGTTGGGGAGATGGTGCAGTTGAGTGACCCTCTGATTTTAAAAATCTAGATTGCAATGTTTGCAGAGATCGTCTTCATCTAGTGGTCCACCATGAAGTACAAAGAGTCCTGAGAGGATGACCCCTGATCCTTGACCTCTGTCCTTAATGCCCACCGTGGCATCAAACCCACAGCGTTCGTTTCCCATACTAAATGTACAACAAAACAGCAGGAATTTTTCTTTTTCTTTGTTTTTTTTTTTTTTTTTTTTTTGAGACAGAGTCTTGTTCTGTCACCCAGGCTGGAGTGCAGTGGTGCGATCTCGGCTCACTGCAACCTCTGCCTCCCAGGTTCAAGCAATTCTCATGCGTCAGCCTCTGGAGCAGCTGGGATTACAGGTACACACCACCATGCCTGGCTAATTTTTGTATTTTTAATAGAGACTGGGTTTCACCATGTTGCCCAGGTTGGTCTCGAACTCCTTGCCTGAAGTGATCCACTTGCCTTGGCTTCCCAAAGTGCTAGGGTTACAGATGTGAGTCACTGGGCCAGCATGAGCCACCTCCCCTGGCCATGGATGTTAAAACAGCCTCTTATATGGAAGAGTTTAGAAAACTGTTCAAACCAAATGGAGTTAGGGGGTGTTGGGGATGGCTGTGCTTCAAGCCTTCCTTCTAGGAAGTGTCTTTTCCCCATACCTGCTGATTACCTGGGCACATGTCTCCAGTTGCCCAACCCGAATACCCCATCTTTCTGTATATAGAACACTGGGGCATGTGACCTCAGCAGAGTCCTCTTCAGTGATATGGACTGAATGATATGATGGAGAGGGATCTCTCTTTTCTCTTTAATCTTTAAGGATGGCATAACCCAGGGACAATTGGTAATCATCTTTGGGTCATATGGACAAAATCTGAGTGAAATCAACAGAACCAGCCACCTATAGAAATAAGAAATGACAAAAAAAAATAGTCCTTATAATTTGAAATCCTGGACTCAGTCAGGCCTGAAGTTAGATCACCACTAGACTTCTTGGTTATACAAGCCAATACATTTTCTTTAACATTTCAGCTGGTTTTAGTCTCTACCCCTTACATCCAAAAGACTTTTGGCTAATATAGAGGGAAGCAGACATGGATAGAGAAAAAGGATTATGCCTCTTCCAGATAATTTGCTCTTTGTGCCACTTACAAAGGGCTGGATCTTACTGCTTAGGCTTTCGGAGGGCATCCCTCATGGACATTCCTATCTTCTCTCTCTTTTTTATTAGCCTTTTCCCTTTACCCCTTCTTGCTTCCCCATCCAATCCCCCTTTCTCTTGGAATCTACTACCTTCCCTAAAGAAATAGTCAAATTTCAGCCTCCGTAAGTTTTTTCTTGTATACAGTAAGCTTCACATTCTGAAGCTCCATGGGTATCAGTGGCTTGACTCATATGCTCAGTACTCCTGCCCTGCAGCTGGGAGGGGAAGGTTCTGGTGTTAGGGGCCATTGGCTCCCCCAGGAAAGGAGGCAGCTTAAGCTTAAGTCCCGACGATAAGGGAAGGAAGTAGAAGCAGAACAATAGTTCACTCTGGGCCATGGGTGCCTTATTCTCTGAAACCAAACACAGGTCATGAATTCAAGGATTAATTGCTATAAAAACATTTCCCTGGTCTAAATAAGAAATTTGTATTTCTCTATTATCATAAATTTGACATTTTGAGAACAATAATCTTGACTCATTTTGTTAAGAAAGCATTTGTCCCTTCTGAGCTGTCTCTCAATTCAGTGGATATAAATCTCTAAATTGTCAGATAATAAACAGCTCTGGACCTAGACACTTCTTCTTAACCACTTATTTCCATGATTTATGTTGCTGGCATAGGGTAAAGGTGAGAGGTCAGATTAGGAAGGAAAGTCTCAGCTGCTCTATTGCTCTATTAAAAATATATCTAAGATCTCATTTTGGAATATAAGGATTGAATCAGTCAAGAAAATTTCTTGAGACAGCTTTTGACAGCAAGCTGATTAATGATTAAAAATCAGGGCTGGATGTGGTGGCTCACACCTGTAATCCCAACATTTTGGGAGGCTGAGGCAGGAGGATTGCTTGAGGCCAGGTGTTAGAGGCCAGCCTGGGCAACACAGTGAGACCCCATCTCTACAAAAAGTTTAAAAATTAGGTGAATGTGGTGGCACATGCCTGAAGTTTCAGCTACTCTGGAGGCAGAGGCAGGAGCTTGAGCCCAGGCGTTGGAGGCTGCAGTGAGCTATGATCATCGCACTGTACTCCAATCTGGGAAACAAAACAAGACTCCATCTCTTAAAAAAAAAATCAGAACTTAAAACAACCATGCATGTGCTCAGGAAGGTCTTTGACTCCAAGAAAAAATTCAAGAAGTATTTAGAAGGGTCATTTCTACTTAAGAAATCCAAAGATAGTTTGAGGAGTGACTGAGAATAACTAAAAGACAGGGAGAAATGAATAAAATTATTTCTAGGTATTTACGCTTAAATATTACCTACATATTAGTTAACATTCATATAGCTGGTAACTAGGTGCCAGGTACTGTTCTAGGTACTTTAAAATTATTAATCCATATAATCCTCAAGACAATTCTCTGAAATAAAGTATATCATTATTTTAACTTACTAATAGCAGTGGTATCAAGATAATGAGAAGACAAGCATACTTCAGGCAAATGTTTTTAAATGACATATCTCATAAAGAACTGCTATATCAAAAATGGAAAGAACTCTTGAAATGCAACAATAAAAAAATTAACAAACCAACTACAAAATGAACAGATGATACGTCACCAAAGAAGATATATAGAGCACAAATAAGAATATGAGAAGATGCTCAATATCATGTCATTAGGGAATTGCAAATTAAAACTAATAGCAATAATAATAACTAGCATTTTTTTCAAATACCCACAGTACTCATACTTTATGAATCTCATTTAACCTTCATAACACCTGTAAGAAGTGGGTACTCAACTATCATGACCAGCTTGTGGATGAGAAACCCAAGTCTGGGAGAGGTTAAGTAACTTTCCAAAGGCCACAGTTAATGGATTTGAATCCCTATCTGTCTCACCTGAAAGCCTGTGCACTGACTTACTGTACTATAGCCTATTAATATTTAGTCACTCTTAATAATTTACTATTTTAATACAGTTTTAGTTTTACATTCTTACACAATTAAGTGAAAAAGCAAGTTTATCTAACACCTATACTTTTTTTTTTGAGACAGAGTCTCGCTCTGTTGCCAGGCTGGAGCGCAGCAGCATGACCTAGGCTCACTGCAATGTCTGCCTCCTGGGTTCAAGTGATTCTGGTGCTCAGCCTCCTGAGAAACTGGGATTGCAGGCACGTACCACTACACTCAGCTAATTTTTGTATTTTTGTAGAGACAGGGTTTCACCATGTAGGCCAGGATGGTCTTGATCTCCTGACCTCGTGATCCGCCTGCCTCAGCCTCCCAAAGTGCTGGGATTACAGGCGTGAACCACTGTACCTGGCCACATCTATGCATATTGAACAAAATTATTACCCAGGCACTACCGTTCATCTGCAGGGAGCTTGTTCAAATTGGCAGCATAGTATACAGGACAAATTTAAGAGCTTTTAAAAGTTCTCTTTGCGGTTGGGTGTTGTGGCTCACACCTGTAATCCCAGAACTTTGGGAGGCCTAGGTAGGCGTATCACTTGAGCTCAGGAGTTCAAGAGCAGCCTGGCCAACATGATGAAATCCTGTCTAAAATATAAAAATACAAAAATCAGCTGATCGTGGTGATACATGCCTGTAATCCCAGCTACTTGAGAGACTGAGGCAGGAGAATTGCTTTAACCCAGGAGATAGAGGTTGTAGTGAGCT